GCCATAACTACACCACATGATCTAGGGCGGTTCTTGCAGCCTAAGAAGTTGGGCTTTGGGGGTCTGCATGGGCTGTCCTTCTGATGTCATGGACCATGTGGTGCTGGTGTCCCACGCCACGTGACTGGGGGTTGGGGTGGAGTTGCCGATGTCACGCACCACATGATTGGAGGTTGGGGCAGGATTGTTGATGTCACACACCACATGACGGGGGGTGGAGGCAGAGTTGATGATGTCACATACCACGTGACTGGGGTCAGGGGCAGGGCTGGTTTCATCACACATCATACAAGGGGAAAGGGAGGGGCTAAGGGGGCGGGGCTTCTGGTCCCACCCACCTGTCACATTTGCATTGAAGGGTGGTGAGCCTATATACTACTGAGGGCTGAGATAGATTACTGTTTTCTTGCCCCGTTCCTCTCCATAGTCTACCATGCCATGCCCACGGTTGCTCTAGTGACTTTGATATTCCAGTCTTCTTAGAAGATCACTGCATGCCTGGCCTGAGCTAGTCCCTTCCTGACTAGGTCAGCACAGCAGTCATGATGGAACTCCATCCTAGCATGCTTCTCTCCTTCATCCACCATTCTCTTCTTGGATGAGGCAGCCAGGTCTGTCATCATTTCCTCCTTGTTCCTCTTTCTCCTCTCACCTCCTTTCAGCTACTTGCTGAACTCCTGTCTCAGATAGTGCCCCTGGGACTTCAGGAACAGCAGCGGAAGCAGCAGCAACTGCAGTTGTTGACCATAAAAGATACAGAAATCAAGAAGACAGCTTTGTTAAATTTGTCCAACTTGCTCCTAATTCATAAACTCCCTTCAGTTTTTGTATTTCATCTCTGGAGCCCCTTCACTTTACAGCCAGGCCCCATAGCTAGTAGGTACATATGTCCTGAGGCTCTAGGATTGGAAGCCTGCTCTCGATGTAACTCTCAAGCATGTGGAGGAGCTTTTGTGTCCCCAAGAAATGGAATCCACCAAGAAATGATGAGGGAGGGAGAGGTAGCATACTTGGGCTGCCATAACCCTTGCTCCAATTTTTTGTGTGGGTGATAGGAGAAGGTAAAAGGCCTCCAGTGCTCCTGAATTTTGCTCTATCTTTATTTTTATTGATTCCTCATGTATGCCCTTGAGGAACTAAGTCTTTTTTTATATGTCAGCAGCACAGCACATAGCTGTTTTTTGCAATTATGCTAGAGAAAATGGTCCAAACAAAGGCCCTTGCTCCATGGCAGGCTTATGTGAATTATGGTGGGGATGCTGTGGAAAACTTGGACTGCATAAATACCTCTGCATACCTAATATGTGGTAACAGAGTTAAGTTTAGCACTAAGTGCCACAGCCAGTTTTTTTCATTAAAAATTGGCTGGTGGAAGGCTATGTGTGAAATACAGATAGCTCACCAGTGCAGGGATTGAGAGACTTTGTGGGAAGACCCACTTTGTGGGTTCAGGAGCATGCTCGAACCACTAGATGCTACCCTTCATCCATCATGTTTAAGCTGGTCACTGTGTATAATGCATTGTAAGATTCAGTGAAAAAGGGAAGGCTAAAGACTACACCTCAGTGAAAAGAATACGCTATTTACAGTATCAAATGGGTGGATAAAAAAACCCAAAACAAAACCAGGCCAGGAAACAGGACTGTATTTGTACAATCATTGTATAACATCAGAAATGAATAGCATAGTGAAAGTAAGCAATTTATGAAGCGTCTAGGCTGAAAACCATGTGAATTGCTTGGCAAATACTTAGCAATAAATTAGTAGAGAAGGGGATAATTTTGTGTATTATTCACAGACAAAGCAAAAGATTCTTCACTCGATTGGACCTCATGTAGCCATTTAGATATCTGCAAAACATGCTTAAAAGATGAACTACTCCCCTCCCCTTTTCCCCACTCCCCCTGCACACTATCCATCTCCCCGCTCCCCCCCTCCTGCACCCCGACTTCCCCACATGTAGTATTTTATCTACTTTGCCCTGGTGTAACCAGATACAAAAGGTACCAGGCAGTGGTGAACCAGTCCTGCAGGGCTAACTGCATTGGATGATTTATTCAATACAACTGATCAATTGACCTAGTTACCTTCCTTTACTGTTATCTCTGCTGGTCCAGTAGCTCTAAAGCAAGTGAAAACACCTGTTGCTGAACCAATTATTTTTCTGGTTCATTTTCTTTTTAGAGATGAAAATGCAGGCAGCATTTGTAGTTTGGCAGATGATAAAAAATGATGAAGATATTTACAGCAGAATAGTTAATTAGTCAGAGGATTTGCCAGTTCTTTTGGCAGAACAAGCAGGCACTGCAGATTTACCTACCCACAACCATGTTGAGAAATTTTGCCTGGATATTCCTGGCAGGGTTTCAAGTGGTTTCCCAACAGCTTAGGTAATGTGTGTAGTTGATCATACTCTGTGATTATTTTTACCTTGTCAACTTTGGACAAACCACAATGTAAATAACCAGTAATTTAACTGTAGCCTTGTCCCCAGTTTCTGAATTTCAGTTCTTGACTTCATAAGCAAAGAAGTCAAACTACTCCTTTAACTACGCTAGCAACAATGAAGTACCACGCTCACAGCCCTTGGAGTATGCTGTTTTTCATGATTGCACTATGGTTTGGTGCAGGTAAGCTATGACTAGTCTTTACTACTATCACCTTAAAGGAAACATACATTTTAAAAAAAATTTGGACCCTTAGTAGAAGGCAGCTATTGCCATATTTGGGCACCTAAATTGATAACGGTGTGTCTAAAACAGGTATTTGAGCACCCATGTCATTTGTTTTTATATGAAAAGTAACATCCTTAGCTACACTTGCTAGACCAGGGGTCGGCAACATTTTTGGCTGGAGTGCCAGAATCACCCCAACCCTCAACTTGGTATGCCAAGGGCAGACTGCAGGGGAGCTGTGAGAGGCCTGATCCTTGTTGTTGACAGCAGTTGTACATGTGCCTCTGGATGGACCGCAGGGGAATAGCCAGGGTTGCACTGCCCCAGCTCCTTCCCTGCCCTGCACTCGAAGGCACATGTGTAGTCACTGCCACTATGGAGCCTGGCTGGGGCTATGCAGACTGGTGCAGCTGTTGGCAGCCTCCCAGCTACAGCCAGCCCAGGCTCTGGGCAGCTGCTGCCAGTCACGGAGCCTAGGATGCTTGCAGCAGGATTTGTAGCTCCTGGCCACCTGCTGCTAGCAGCAGCTGCCCAGAACCCAGATACCTATGGCATGCTGAGCAAAATGGCCTCACGTGGCATGCCCTGCCACGTGTGCTGGGAGTTTCCAACCCTTGTGTTCACATGGTTTTCAGCCTACAGATTCTTCATAAATTGCTTACTTTGACTATGTTATTCATTTCTTAAGTTATACAATGATTGTTCAAATACACCCATAAAAGTCTGTTTGGACAAATTCAGTTAAAATGTGTTCCTAGCTGCTAGATACTGTCATTATTTATTTGACAAGTAATGTTTGCTTGTTTTAAACTTTTATATAATCTTATATTTGTGACCTTTAAGAAAGAAGAACTGTAAGGAACCAGATTTTGTTTAGTTCTTTTCATGGGAAGCAGTGAGCCCAAAGGTAGGTCCTAGAGGGAGTGCCCCTCAGACCCAAACTTGGCACTCTACAGTACTCATTACCTGACATTTGGAGACACTTGCATGGATTTGTTTAGATCTTACTCCTCCTGCAAGTGGTTTACTCTTTTGGCTCAGAATGAGCCCCTTATGCTCTGTTGTGAGTGGATTCCACCTACGTAATCTCCATATCTGTCCTAGAAATGTTAGTCACAGAAAATTATTCCCATCTGTGGCTTAACAGAATGGGAGCCTTTTTGTCTTTGAGTCTTGTGGTTGAGACACTTGCTGAGCAAGTGGGAGACCAAACTTCTAAATACTCTCTCACCCGAAATGGATCTGAGGGTATATCTCTTAACTTTCTAGCCAAGTAGTCTAACCACTAGGCCACAGAAACACATTGCTGATCACACCTCCAACTGCTCCTGTTGAAGCTGGTACACTGGAAAGCTGGGAGGAGAAAATTTGTGGGGTGAGAAGGAGTCTTAAGAAGAAGGAGCATGGTTTGGTGATGAGCATGGCTTAAGGAGTCTGAAGCTGTGGCAGTGGCCCCTACTGGTGTTTGGGTTTTTGGTATTATTGAATGAAATCTTATGATAGCAGAAGGTTCGCTTCTGTCTTCTCTGTGCACAGGAGTAGTACTTAGAGTCTTTCCTTTCAGGCCAGTGCCTTTCTCACTGAGCCACAGTCCTGCCAGCTCAGCTCTCATCTGGCTCCCCTGCTGTCTTCTCTTTCAGATGCCCACTAGATCACCATCAACCAAAGAAAAGAGACACTTTAGTGCTACAGAGGTTGTGGCTCAATAGTTCAAACATTTTGCTTAGAAGTAGAAGATATAGGTTCAAAACCCATTTGAGGAAAAAGACAGTGACAAGACCTTCAGTCTTTTGTTTCCTGCTCAAGTGCTGTAACTACTAGACTGTTGACTAAAAATACCAGATGTGCTATTTTTCACTACATTTTTTGTGCTTTCCTTGGAAGAGGATCAAAATTCTGAGGAAGTTGTCTCAAAAAGCCTTCCCCCCCTAATTCCCCAAACTGGAAGGTAGTAGAGTCTGGGGCTCAGTTATGGTTAAGGAACATAGAATCATAGAATCATAAAAAGGTAGGGTGGGAAGGGACCTTCAGAGGTCATCTAGTCCAACCCCCTGTTCAAAGTGGGACCAGCCCCAACTATCTCATCCCAGCCAAAGCTTTGTTTATCCGGGTTTTGAAAACCTCCAAGAATGAAGCTTCCACCACTTCTCTGGGTAACCTGTTCCAGTGTTTTACAACCCTCCTAGTGAGAAAATTCTTCCTAATATCTAACCTAAACTTCCCTTGCTGCAGCTTGAGACTATTGCTCCTTGTTCTGTCATCTGTCACCACTGAAAACAGTCTAGCTCCATCCTCTTTTGAACCCTCCTTCAGGTAGCTGAAGGCTGCTATTAAGTCCCTTCTCAGCTTCTCTAGACTAAATAAGCTCACTTCCCTCAGTCTTTCTTCATAAGTCATGCCCTTCAGCCCCCTCACCATTTTTGTTGCCCTCTGCTGGAGTCTCTCCAATTTGTCCACATCCTTTCTGTAGTGAGGGGCCCAAAACTGAACACAGTACTCCAGATGTGGCCTCACCAGTGCTGAATAGAGGGGAATAATTACTTCCCTTGACCTACTGGCAACATACCTACCAATACAGCCCAGGATGCCATTAGCCTTCTTGGCAACAAGGGCACACTGTTGGCTCATATTCAGCTTATTGTCCATTGTAACCCCCAGGTCCTTTTCTGCAGAGCTGCTGCCCAGCCACTCAGTCCCCAGCCTGTACAGGTGCATGGGATTATTCTATTTTAAGTACCGGACTTTGCACTTGTCCTTGATGAAACTCATAAGATTTCTTTTGGCCCAATCCTCCAGTTTGTCTAGGTCACTCTGAATCCTAGCCCTACCCTCCAGTGTATCTACTACTCCCCACCAGCTTGTTGTTATGTGCAAACTTGCTGAGGGTGCACGCTATGCCATCTTCCAGGTTGTTGATGAATACACTGACCAAAACCAGCCCCTGGACTGAGCCCTGGGGCACTCCACTTGCTATTGGCTGCCAACTAGACATCAAACCATTGATTACTACTCACTGAGCCTGATGCTTCAGCCAGTTTTCTATCCACCTTACAGTCCACTCATCCAGCCCATAGTTCCTTAGCTTGCCCGCAAGAATGTTGTGGGAGATTGTATCAAATGCCTTGCTAAAATCAAGTTACACCACATCCATCAGTCTCCCCACATCCACAGAGTCAGTCATCTCATCCTAGAAGGCAATCAGCCTGGACCTTGGTGAATCCATGCTGACTGTTCCTAATCACCTTTTTCTCCTCCAAGTGCTTAGAAATGAATTGCTTGAGGATCGTCTCCATGATTTTTCCAGGGACAGAGGTGAGGCTGACTAGTCTGTAGTTCCCTGGATCCTCCTTCTTCCCTTTCTTAAATATGGGTACTATATTTGCCCTTTTCCAATCATCCAGGACCTCTCCTGATTGCCATGAGTTTTTGAAGATGATGGCCAGTGGCTCTGTAATCACATCAGCCAACTCCCTCAGCACCCCATCTGACCCCATGGACTTGTACACAGCTTTTCTAAGTAGTCCCTAACCTGTTCTTTCACCACTGAGGGCTGCTCACCTCCTCCCCACACTGTGCTGCCTGGTGCAGCAGTTTGAGAGTTGACCTCGCCTGTGAAGAATGAGGCAAAGACAGCATTGAGCACTTCAGACTTTTCTGCATCCTCTGTCACAAGGTTCCCCCCCCTCCATTCAGTAAGGGACCCACACCTTCCCTGATTCTCCTCTTGCTACTGACAGACTTGTAGAAACCCTTCCTGTTACCTTTCACAGCCCTTGCTAGCTGTAACTCCAATTGTGCTTTGGCCTTCCTGACTTCATCCCTGCTTGCCTGAGCAATGCTTTTATAGTCTTCCCTAGTCATTTGTCCAAGTTTCCACTTCTTATAAGCTTCCTTTTTGTGATTTATTTTGTTGAAGAGTTTCCTGCTAAGCCAAGCTGGTCTTCTGCTATACTCGTTAGTCTTCCTGTGCATAGGAATGGTTTGTTCCTGTACTCTCAGTAAGGCTTCTTTGAAGTACAGCCAGCTCTCCTGGACTCCTCCCCACCTTAGTCTGGCTTCCCAGGGGATCCTGCTCATGAGTTCTCTGAGTTAGTTGAAGTCTGCTTTTCTGAAGCCCAGGGTCTCTACTTTTCTGCTCTCCACCTTTCCTTTCCTCAAGAACATGTCAACAAGCAGTCTCTGCTTTGTGACTGGTAGGGTGCATCTGCATGTGCTATTAGACAACAGCATGTTGAGCCAGGTCAGAGCAGCCCTGGCTGGCAGGGGATCTTGGGGGTCAGCCTGGCAGCCTGGGGATGCTTCCGCCCAGCTCAATGTGCTGTGGAGGGGCTGCCTGGGGCACAAGGGTGCTCCAAAGTGGGGCTTGCCAGCAGGCAGCTGGCTCCAGCCATCTGTGCCAGCTTTTACATGTGCTGCTGCACAGTAAAAAACTTCACAGCAGAATAGTACTTGCATTTACAAGTACTACGCTGCTATGGAGTTTATTAGTTTCCTGTGGCCTAATAGGGCTACACTTCTATACATGAGATGTTTACTACAGAACTAATTAGTCTACTACACAGTAAATGTCTTGTGTAGATGCATCCACAGCGTTTCATGCTGCTTAGTAGGAAGATGAGTATAGGTGGCTCTAAGGGATATTTATAGCTCTACACTTAAACCTAAGAACATAATCAGTCTCCAGTGCAAGTTTAAGCAGCTTCAGCTTCTCACATGGCCATTTAAAGCTGTATCCTCCGGTCTGCAATTAAAGGACATATTTCTTTCAAATATGTTTCCAGGCTATACTCTGGTGAGTAGTTGCTATTGGCCTTCTAAGCCATTCAGGATTGTCCATATAAGAAATATAACAAGCAGAACTATAAATCCACCATCCCAGGCATCTTCCTTGAATGTTCTATTATGACTTGCAATATGCAGAAAGAGCTGGGCTGTGGGTTTTTAGAAGCATTAATATGTGATATACTGGCATTTCTGTTTTTAGATTGTCTTCAGACAAAAGCCATTGATGATCATGATGATTGTAAAAATGCTAATTTAACCAGTTTGACTCAACAGCTAAAGGTAAAAACCCCCTGCTCTTATACACTAGATAGTGTTAGATCTGAGGGGTGTGTTTTTGTGTTCACCTGTGTGCATGCATGTGTCTTTTGCCACTTCTCTTCCAAATCATCAGTAGATGGCATCAGAGAGATCCTTCCATTTTTAACTACATCTGACAGGTCTACATAGAAAAAAGAGCAATTAGATAAGTTGAACTACTGTCTTCTAGCTAGAGTAAAATGAAGAACATCCCTGCAACTCAGCAGAGCTATTACCTTTAGTCACAAAGTCCTAGAGTACATATCAGCTGTAAAACTGTACAACATGTTCTGCAGTTGTGTGACTGGTTGGAGTCTGCTCAGGGAATCATGTCTTATCTTTATATAGGCTAGCTCCAATATTAGGGTCAAATCATGCAGAGATCCTTCAAGGCAGTGAAAAATGTGGAGTAGATGGAGGGGCAGGATGGCAAGATTCCACTTGGAACATGGATTAGACATAGAGAAAGAGCAGAGAGAGATGTAAATACATTTGATTGTATCCTGGGGCACTTCTCTCCACAGGGAGTTAACATATAGGTCACAAAAAACTGCTGCTGTTCTGTGGGGAGAGGTGCCATTCCTTCTACTCACAACACATGCAGATCTTCCAGCACCACGCTAATCTAGAGAATATATATGGAGGTAATGTGACTGCTTTGGATCCGTTCCTTAGCATAAGTACTTACATATGGAGTACAATCTCATTATAACAAACCCTGTTTATAACAACTTCCAATTTTTAAAAATCCCAACAGCCAGAAGTGTTTTTTTTCATGATTATGAAGCAGTAAAGTGAGTAATATCAATATCACAAACTCCCTTTTTTAGATAACTTTTCTCCTGGTCCCTGATGGGCTGGTTATAATGTGGTTTTACTGTATATACTACAACAAAGATCAATATCCCATCATGCATGAGGTATAATAACCTCGTGTCTGCATACAGGGGAGGCGGGGCATGTAAATTGGTTTATACAGACATGTTTTAAGCATAAGTTCATTATTGTATGTAATATACTGGTAATAAAAAGAATGCTTGCTGTTGCTCTCTCTACTGATGTTCAGAATCTTTCCTCCTTCTGTAGACATTTTCCCAGTGCTTTGAGAAAATGCTTCCCCATAGCAGAAATAAAATTAATGCCCTGGCATGGAGAGTGCAACATGTACTTGAGCTCCTGCGAAAAGTTCAGGCAAAAGGTGAGGACATACAATGGCAAATACTCTTAATTTTTATCTTAAATGCATTCATGCTGTAGCACACAGATAAATCCTTTGGACCTCATTAGTGATGGACTTGACTTAAGGCCCCAAGTCCAACTCCCTTGAGCTTTCTTGAGCCCCCTCTTCCTGGTCTTGGCTGGTACAAGATGCTTGTGGAAGCACTAGGAGAAATCTACTGGGATCAGTGGGAATTCAGTGCCAACATACTGTTGGATATCTGGGACTATGAGATTGCATATAGATCTGTGCCATTAGTCAAAGTAGTTAAAAGGATCAAGCCTCAGTTTGTATAGCACAGTCATTGAAAAGATAAAGAAGATCATTCCACAGGCTTCCTCACCCTTAGCAAGGTGCAAAAGCCTGGACCTGTCAGTCCTCACTGCTCCCTAGATACTCCAGAGCAGGCTCTTTGTTGAACGTGTTTACACACAGATGTGCATGTGCATCCTTGCTTGGCTGGCTATGGGCCTGACATGGCACATGTTTTCCTTTCAGATACTTATATTCCTTGGCAGGGCTGTCTTAAAGATTTTAGAAGCCCTTGGCACAGTGTTGATTGGGATCCACACCATGTTTAATTATGTGATAGTTATTGCAGTGATTGTGCTTGCACACATATGTTGGCACTTTCCATGTTTTGTGTAATTTGATTTTTCGTGTGATTGTGTGCTCCTGCTCTGGTTCCCTCATTATTTTGTGTCCCTGAACAATTCTGTCCTGTCCAGGGGTATCTGTCACATGCCTTTTTTTCAGCACCAATGGATGGGGACTTGGAGCTCTTAAGATGGCACTGGTTCCAGATCTCTTGGAATGGCATATGCCACAGTTTTGGTGGCAGTTCTGTTCCTTTCCTCCATCAGGCCTTTTCCCAAAACACTCACAGCTTTGCTTTCTACACTGCAAAATGCATCCATGTTTACTTTAAACAGCCTAGCTTCAGTTCCAGAAGCAATTCAGATGTTACTTGGTGGTCCAATGCATAAACATACACATGCGCATGCGCACACTTCTCCCCCCCTACATGCATGGTTTTTTTTAATGATAAGAGTTCACCAAACTGGGACTATGACTTTAAGCGATGGTTATATTTTTGGGGGTGTTAGTGTTTTGCATCAGTCAGATTTAATTTAAAAAGAGATATTTCTGGCCCTTTTTGTTGTAAGACATAAGACTAGCTTCATAAGTAGGTTTCTGGAATTGGGTATGGGCAGTTTATCATGTTTTCTATAAGACTGTATTCCACTTGAATTATTTTAAATGTGAAGCTATCAAATTTACGTGCACAGGATGTAAATGACAACTTGAGCCAAAGGCAACATTATAAACTTTAAAACACAAAAATGTAGCTGGGGAAGGTCCAGAATTTTCTGTTAGAAGGAGTTTCTCAATGAAAAATCATTTTTTTGACAAAAAATTATCATCTTGCCAAAATGTGTCTCCTTTGTGATTCAAACAGCAACACTGAACAAGAGCATGGAAAAATATGAAGTCCTTGGCTTGGATTGATTCTAATTTCAATATGTACCCCTACAATTTCTTCCAGTCATTGCATAATTCTGTGAAACTGCTGTCACTGCCAATATTTGATATGCATTATGTTCTCATTCTAAAGCTTGCAAGGCACTAGACAAGTGCTCCCTTCCCCTGGCCCCTCCGAATGGTGGTCTGGTGTGTGTCACCATTGATCATGTCCACTACTGCAAGCCAATGTGCAACCAGGTAATGTATACTGTTACTATCAGCATTATGGCAACTTCATTCCTTAACATACTAGAACAGTGGGTCTCACCCTTTTTGGACTAGGCACCCTGCATGAGATGCAAAGCACCCCTCCATAAATTTTGTGAACTGAGTAGCACCCAATTTCAAAAACTAATTTATATATAACAGTGCTACCTCTTTGCAAAGGGGCTGGGCAGTTGGGGTTAGGGATCAGCTGGGCAGGGACAAGCCCAAGCCTGCACTTATCTGCTTATCTCCTCACACTGTATGGCACCATTCAAGACGATCTGCAGGGACCCCAGGATGCTACAGCACCATGGTTGAGAGTCACTGTGAGAGACTTTGTGTGTTTAAACTTTCTATTCTTATTCTAGAACTTTTATTATACCCACTACAGTTATATCTGAAGCCAGCTTTTCAAAGTTATTTAGTCATCTAACTCCTGTTAGAAAATCCGGGCCTGAGTGAGCAGATCAGAAATTTACCCTTAATCTAATCTTTGTTTAATTGGCTTGGTGAACAGCAGGAGAGAATAGCCCCTGCTTCTAGCGCCTTCTGCTGCCCACCCGGAGTGCAGCTTGGTGCAGCCCCAGCCCTGCCCACCTTGCACAGATCTGGGGGACCCCTTCACCCATGCTGTCCCGGACCAGCAGTGTGCAGCGGCAGAAGCTGCCCCACCTTCTTCTCATGCCCTCCCCCGCCCTGGCTGGGCAGTCCCTGTCCCAGCCCC